AAGAAAAGCCCAAGCATTTTCTTCTGATCTTATTTCAAACCACGTTTTCCTCTACTCTCGAACTGATCAGAGGTAATGAATTTAGGACCTGGTAACCCTTCTATTTCAGATGGGTTACTGATAGCCACACACACACAGCACTGAAAATCAACATAGGAAACATTTTTGTTTTTATTTTTTAAAGAATAAAACAAAGAAATGACTGTCAGACAGCACTACAGCCCCTAAAGTAACAGCCACACTGCCTGAGAACTGAAACAGATTCAGGTTATAAAACAGATGAAGAAAAATACACATTTCCCTGCTGCTTGTGTAACTACTGTGCCTGCCGCTGACAGCATCAATCTGCCTTCTCCTGAGAGCCTGGAGAAATCTTCTGGGGAGCATCAGGAGGAGTACATTAGCAGAAGACCACTCCTTTTGCTAAGGGGTTTGTCTGCCTGTGCAAGGTACTGCTGGTACTGTCAGACTTGTGTCAGAGAACTCTGCTCTGCAATAGACTTTTGCATGTATTTATAGTCAGGCTTTCTCATAAGAGCTGTTACAACGTTTCACAACAGATGGAGCATCCTCCTTTTCTAATTCCTGATCTGTAGTAAGACGTGTAATAGTTTGTAACAAGGGGGAAGCAAAGTGTTTGCAGGATAACTTGAGTGTTAACTCCCTTCAGACCACAGTATCTGCCTATTCAACCAGAGAAAACATTGCTCTGACAATACAGAAATTCTAAATCAAGTGTTTTTTGTTTCTCAGATGCACTGGAATTCCTGGCTTCCCCACAATCTTCAATAAGTCCAAGTGAATTATAATATACTACAACTATTTTGATGTAGGAAATTGTCATTTCAGGTTGGGAAGACTCTGATCATGTTGAAAATGACAATATTTCCAAAATATTTATGTTAACTTTCATATTAGTGCTTAAACCCATATTCTTCTAGGGAAAAAAAATAATAAAAAATAAAAAAAAAATCCTCTTCATAACAACTAAGAAATGGATGGATAAAATCATGACAATTTTTGGTTTGAAGTCATAGAAAAATCCAGAAAAAAAAAAACCAGAGTACACTCACAAGAAATAAGCAGCAAGCTCTTCACACTGACTTGAATAAGGGAAAGGTGTAATTACTTTGGAGGTATTTGCACACTGCTAGGATTTTTAAGCACTGTACAAATTAAAAATATAGATACCGCCGATCCTTTGCTTTAAATTAATTATCTTAGCTAATTGAATTAAATTGATGATCATATTTTACTGAAAAGCAGTAATTTTCCTCAAAATATTGCATTCAAAATTTTTTACAGCAACAGAATATAACATGCTCTGAAAAAAAAAAAAAATTAAAAAAAAAAAAAACACAAAAAAAAACCAAGAAAAAACCCCCAAACCTAAAACCCCTCCAACAGACTCAGAACTAAAAAGCTACCATGGATATCCATGTATTTAAAATAAACTCAAACTTGACAAAGCCAGAAACAGGGCCTCACTACTGAATTAGCACTCACATCTTCATACAGGCTCTTTTTCCTGCTGGTGTGAGCAGCAGTCCCAGACGAGGTAGGTGAACAAGCTATCAATACAGTAGCTGAACATTTACGATAACTGGAATTATATTTTTCTCTTCCCATACCCACAGCTTAAATGTCTGGGTTTGCAGACATTTCTGCACTGCTTTTTTTGTTGTTGTTGCTGAAATAAATAAATGAATACAAGCAAGAGCCTATTTTCATGCATTTGGCTTTGAGGGGGAAGCATAAGCATTTAAATATGGCAATTAGCATTTTTTAACTATTTTTCCCGAAGACTTTGTGGGTCGTTTGTTCTTCTTCTGCAAGTGTTTTGCAGGATCACTTCATCAACAGAGAAGGAAAAATTGAAGTGTAAGTACACCAGCCTCAAATCCTTGCCATAGAGATGTTTCACTAGATCTCTAGCCTAGTAACAAAAGTTAAGGTTTATTTAAATTTAACAGTACACAAAACTCCATTTTAAAATAATATTAGGGCTGGATCTAGTTAAAATGAACAAAATCCAGAAAATTCACTTCTTTCAGATTTCTAAATTTAAATCAGCCACGTCTGAGCTACCAGAGGGATTTCAAAGGAGGGCTGCTGATGTTACATGTGCTGTAATAACCAGGCACGGGGTGCCTTTATAGCCACATCTCCCTTTCAGGAAAATTATTTAAGTTGCTTTTGAAAAAAGCAGCAGAAGTCCTTAAAGAAAACACTGATGAGCTGACAAAGATGTCTGCAGCAGCTCCTTCAGACGAGCAGAGCAGCAAGCTTGCAATGTCAGCTATCAGACTGTGATTTAGGCAACAAGATCTGTAGAGGCTCAAGCCTGTACCTATTCTGTGAGTGGTAAAAGTGGCCATGGAAAGTTGCACACGGGAAGCACTTCAGCAAAGAAGCCTGCACATTTTTATCTCTTCAGCTCATTACAACTAGATATTGCAAAACAGCCCACGAAGTCGAGCACACTATTTGCAATAGCCACACCAACAGTTTTTAAGGGGCCAGCACCGCAGCCCTTATTGCAGGGTTAATTTCCAACAAAAGCAGTGGTAGTTTGTCTAAATAAGAACTGCAACAGCAGAAACAGGGAGTTAGAAACTAAAACACACCCCAGAGCTCTCTGCAAAGCTTCACTGCTCTTTGGGGCACAAAACAGCCACGCTGAGCACTTCTACAGCAAACTTGCTGACCAGCTCTACAACAAAATTAATGTAGGCCAAATTTCAGCTAAAAAACTGTTCTAGAGCCAATTGACACTTGAAAAATGGATTCTAATGGTAACTGACAACTACAGCACTCCTGAGAGACAGCTCAGCTTGTACACGAGTCACACTCTGTAACTGCACTACTGCAAAACTCTCCTCTTTGGGCTCCTGAAAAAAATTATTTAACTTGTCCCAAAGTTCAAATTACTTTGATATCTTTTGTTCATTAAAAAAAAAATAAATAAAAGTTTGGATCTACTGACATGATTCTGCAAATCCTTATTTGTGGAAGTGAGCTATTAGGACTACTTGTGTATTTAGAACTCAGCAGGTTCAGGCCCTAAACTTAAAAATCCTTTGATTTACAGTTGTGAACCAGACATTATATCTTTTTTTTTTTGCTGAATAAGAATCTATAAGAAATAGTCTGAACTCGTGTCAGCTCAAGGAACACTCCATCAAACTTTCACCTTTTAAATATGTCACAAGGGAGCCTTAGATACTTTTGCCTTGCAATATAATCCTGATTTTCATTAACAATAATGTAATTGCTTTTGTACAGGGACAAAAAAAAAAAAAAAAAAAGTAAAAATATAGAAAAAAAAGAAGAGAGAATGAACAAATTCAAAGAGGTGTTCTGTGAAATCTTTATGTTCTTAAGAGAAGCAGGATTAAAAAAAAAAAAACAAAAAAAAAAACATCACCCAAACCCATATGCATTACATTCAGTGCAGAGCTTCTGGACAAACTGTAAAATATTTATTTGGGATCATATTAGACATGTCACCCAAACACTAACTGCATTAATAAAGAAAACTTTTACTACAACTGTTAATCACAAAGAGGAAAAAAAAAGAAAATAATAATCACCAATTCACTAATCACAAATTGCTAAGTCCATAGAAACCTCTGTTTCCCTCCTTTTCCTCTGGATCCCTGCACTTTCTGTATTCAGGATTTTCTTTCTCAACTGATAACTGCCTGTAGGTGGTCTACGCAACCCCTGAAAATCACTGTACAGTTTTCATTATATGAAAAACACCTTCAGAATGTGTCTGCCTCAAACAGATCTGTGCCAGAAGGTGTTCTAGTGGCAAAAGCAGCTGCTCCTCGGGTGTAGTGGACATTAGTTACAACACTGAGGAAAGCTGCAATTTACACTTTGCTGGATTTGGTTAGTACAAATTAGCAGTTACCAGAATAATCTACAATTTTTTTCCCCAAATTTCTCTTATTTTATGATACAATTACTTCCTGCAAAATTAAAAAAAAAAAAATGCCTTCTTGAAGACAGACAGATTTGATTAAGGATAAAAAGTGGATTCCAGCTGAAAGCTGGAATTGCTAAAGTCACGACATGTTCATAAAATTTGTTGCACTGTAATATATTTCGCTCAAGATAAAGTTTTACAGTTTTTACTGCTCCATTTAGTATTTAAACAAATTTACTCAATCCAAGAACAGTTACTATTTTAATTTCAGTTGTTTTTAGAAATGGTTAGTTAAGATTATTCACATGCAAGTAGGTAGGTTATGATTACTCTGAATGGATTTCTCAGTTTCAGCCAAATTAGTACTTCTGGTGCAAAGCAGGACTCGCAGTATGAGTGTAGCCAGTCCCTATTTATTATTTTTTAAATATTAGCTGTTTTGCTATAGAAAAATCTATTTACTGACAAATACAGAAATTAAATTAAATTTCTGCCTGTTTTGCTACAGGTAGAGACCTCTGAAGCCCATTTTGTCTTGTTTCCTGCTTCTCAGCTCGTCAAGCAGCAAGTTTGTTAACACGTTTAAAAATAAGTTTTGCACACTACATTGAAGTGCACTCAGCTCTCTGTTCATTTCTTTAACAAACCCTCCCAACAACAACAAAATAACGTTACTTAAAAATAAACACTACCTCCTCTATACCTTGTTTTTGGATTAGCAACATTTCACTTGGACTAATTCCCAATACATGAATACGAGAACAATACTATATAGAGAATTTATATAACTTCTATGACCAAGGCTGCTGCAAATTCAGCTTTTTGTACGAATTTTGGCCACTTCATTTCCTTCTGAAGACAGCTCGTGTGAATGCTTCACTTTTACTCAGCCTCTTAGAATTTTACAGAGAGAGTGTAAAGAAGAATTATTTTACCAAACAGAAAAAGCTCAGGCAAACCCAGCCCAACTTGCCTATTTTGAATAGTCCAAAGAAGTTACACCATATACATTTTTTTTTTTAAATTAAGAACACGTGTAATAGAGAAATGTTAATATAATATATACCATGCTCCTGCTCCATCAACCTTCCAGAAAGAGTTTTTCAATCACAGGACTAAGCCGTTCTCCAAAATCAGCTCTCTATTGAAAGGTCGAAACCTGCAATAAAAACGTCATGTATTATAACATATTTCCAACACCCACAGTTTCATGGTTGATCCCCAAACATAGACAGAGGTCATCGGGCTGACCCTCGCATTGTCTATATTACAGGAAATCCTAATTTTAAAGAGGGAGAGAGATATATTTTAAACCAAACCGGGTTGATTGGGAACACCTGTGATATGCCTCTTTATTATCAGAAGCCTCTCGAAACAAATCAGATTAGCATGCCCTGCTTTCATTCTTCCTGCAGCATTTTAACATGAAAGCAAGAGGAAGAAAAAAAAAAAAGGGGGGGGGAAGGGAGGAGGTGCGTGGGGGGGGGAGGAGGGAGGGGGAGAACCTCTCCCAGTCTCTCCCTCCACCCTGAAAGCAGCAAACAGGTTGAGTACAAACTGCTTAATGGGTGTGTGATGACTGCTGCCACACTCCCCAGACGGTGCTGCTGACTGAGCAGGGTTGAACTTCGCACGTTTTTCCTGAAGGAGCTTCAGCTGCTTCTCTTCAAGGGCAGTCACCACTGCTACGTTCGTTAAAATGTAGCTGCGCAAATATTAGCTGCTTTAGAAGGTGTAAGAGAAACTGTAGAGTCATCTAATGCTCTCCCAGCAAAAATTTAAAAGCATACTGGGAAGAGGAAAAAATAAAACTAAAAAAAATAAAAAAAAAAAAAAAGAAAAAAAAAAAAGAAAGAAATTGGCCACGACAATATTCAGGTAAGAACGAAACATAACCTGAGAGAGGGAATAACTGTATCAGGTATCTACTGCAGGAAGCAGTGCATCCACACAGCCACATCCTTCCACTTATTGGAGCTTTTCTCACTGCAGATAGCAGGACATGACACATGCAGTGCCTAACAAACGTGGCAGCAGCTGCCTCGCTCAGCTCACCTGCTCACAAACGTGCCCCATCATTTTGCCCTTTATTCCTTCATCGTAGTCCAGAAAAATCCTAAAAAAAATCCCCATAGTTGTAGAGCTCTGATAAGCACTCTGCTTTAATCAGAACAGAAAATTTGCCTTATTTAAAAAAAAAAAAAAAAAATTATGGGAAGGAATATAAGTGAAAATAAAAGTTTCTGCTCTTCAACCAATAACACAAAAATGCTTCTCAAAATTCCCTCCCCACGCTTATATTAAGATTTAATATCCTTCAAGCTAATACTGAAAGCAAGCTCACAGAAAAGCACCTTCTACGAAAACAGAGGCTGGAGCCCTCAGCCGAGTGTAATTATCTCCTTCTCAGCTGAGACCTTCCTGTGAATTTCAGCTCACACTAAATAAAATAATTAGTTGCAGCTAGATCAGACGTTGAAAAGTTTATTAATAATCCATTTACTGTGGATACACTCATTACAGTTTCTGAAAACAAACCAAAAAGTCACTTTTTATCCCCTTCTTCTAACAGTGGTTCCCTCCAGACATTAACAACCATCCCTGCGAGTCACAGCTATTTTTCAGCTGCAAGCATAGTATCATCTCAGAGCAACACATTGGGAAAGTTTTTACAAAATAGGAGCTCAATGTACAGAATTGACATTTTTCTCCTGTTCTGTGTATGTGGCAATGAATGTGTGTGTGTCTACGAGGAGGCCATCCTCACACACTGGCAACTGCATTGCCGAGATAGGAAGAAGTGCTTAGAATTACACAAAGTCATTAATATTTACTGTAAAGATAACTTTTTTTTTTTTTTTTTTTTAAGAGATGATGTGCTAAAATATGATTAGATGCTAATATTAAAGTAAAAAACTGCCAGGTGTTGGCTGCTCTCCCTGCTGCCCCTGCACACAGCAGCAGCACAGGGGCTGAGCTGAGAGCTGCCCCTCAGCCCCGCTCCCACTCTCTGCCCCAGGAACAGGCACAGCTCCTCACACTGCAGCTGGACTGCTTTTAGGATTTGCAGCGAAGGGTTAAAAAAGAACTTCAGCACAGACACTGCCTCACACCCCATTAAACAATAGGCAGGGATTATTCTACCTAGCTCATTGTAACCATTTCTGATACTGCCCAGCATCCAAATTTAGGGTAATTTCAAAAATACTATTTCCCCCGCTAAGCTTAACTTCTCCTGTTTGTTGTGCATTAACACATAGTTACCTAAAAAAGAAAAAAAAAAAAAAAAAAAAAAGTAAAAAAATCCTACCTAGCTCCTGCCAATAATTTGCAAAATAAATAAATAAAATGGCAAAGCAGCATTTTGACTGAGGGAAATGAAGCATCGGGAATCCATGCCACACACCTCCCCTCTGCATCACGTCCCCCCTCACATCTGTGGGACACATCTTCAGTCCTCCTGCCTTAGAGTACATCACCAGTTCTATTAAATAAAAAAAAAAAAAAAAAAAAAAAAGCTGTGTGAAGAGTCAGAGTATATACACGAGAAACGTGGGCAAGCAACACTTCCCCAGTGTTAGTGGTGATAGAAAAAAAAAAAAAATCATCATTTTGGTATCAGGTTCCAGTGTTAAATGTTAAGTGTTCAGAATATGTATATATGTGTACATTTATTTTTATATAAATAAGTACAAACAGCACATCTGTGGAAGGAGACTTAAGAGTACACAAAGCTATTTTTATTAAAAAAAAATATATATGTATATATATCAAAAAATATTTCCTTGCTGGTATAGAGAACGGCACAGTGTAATCCCCCATTTCCTCCCCACGCAGGACAAGGCCAAGCTGCACTGTACTTTTGACAACTTTAATAAATGTAAATTGCTGAGATGAGAGCTAAGGGGCCTCTGGGCACAGACAGATGATGGAGCTATCAAATGAAGTATCTACAGAATATTGGTAGGACACGGAGGTGCTCAGTAGGTAACTGTTTCCCAATGCAACTGAAAAGCAGCAGGCTGCTGTAGCAGCAGTGCTCGCTGTGAGGTGAGAGCTCTGGGTGCAGCTCACTCAAATAGATAGCAGTGCCATACACCTGTTGGGCAGCTGTGCCCTTTGGGAGGGATGGGCTGTGCACCTTCCCCTAGTGCTCACACTGACAGGCAGTGCCTGCAGCCCCGGCTGCACTCTGCTCACATCCTGATTCATTAGCACTGGGAGAATTAAGGAAACGCAGCCCACAGCTCAGGAGCAAAATCCCTCCTGTGACGCTGTGCTTTGGATGGAACAGGAACAAGCCCAGCATTCCAAAAGCCAAGCAAAAAAAAAAAAAAAAAAAAAAAGGAAAAAAAACACACAAAACCCCAATCGATGACCAAGCAGCAAAAGCACCTCGCACACCTTGTGACCATACACACAGCCTAACTGTGCCCCACACTGCAACACGCTGCCCACAGCCCCACACCTTCCCATTGCTGCTGCTCCTCAGCATTACAAAAAGCACAGTTGCTCCAAGCTGCACAAGGTTTCTCTCTCTGAAAAGAGAATGCACCTCTTGGAAACTTTCAGTGCAACTTGGTTGGGTTTTTCTCGGCACCAGGCTATTGAAAAAATAGCAAAAAAAAAAGTTAAAAAATTACCAAAAAATTACCAAAAAATTAAGAGGGCAAGAGAAGCTTATTTGGATGCTTTTCTGACAGCTGAGATTAAAAAAAAAAAAAAAGTCTGAAAAAAAAAAATAAAAAAAATAAGAAAGTATGTGTACGCAGTGCACGGCACAGCGAAGAAACACCACTAAGCACAGAAGTTCAGCTTTCAGTTATCGCCATCGTGTAAATACACAGGTTTCGATCTTGAAGCACATTTGATATTTCCTCCAAATGTGCCTTCTGCAGGGCCAAACCATCCAGTTAATGTTTGACGTTTTAACTGAGGTGAAAAATGCAAGCAGTTCCTCAAGGGTCCATTGAAGCTACACGGTTCCCCCCCACCCCCCTCCCCAAGTGTCTCAAAATGAGGAGCATGTCAAATATAAGGAAGGAAAACCTAATTTCCACAGCCCGCGTATCGATATTAGATCGCTTACTGCTTTCATTTTAGCCACACCCACCTTTATGTAATTATAAAATATGGAAACGGTGCAGCTCGAGAAATAAGAAAGCCAAAAGGAACGATGGTGCGACAGAGCCCAGCGGGCGCAGTGCACGGGCTTTCATTTCAATGAGAAACGGGAACGAACCGCGGGCTGCGGACCGACGCCGGGCGAGCGGTGTGGAAGAACGCCCCGCACCTGTGCGGCACCGAGCGGGGCAGGACGCCGAGCTCCTGAAAGCGAAAGTCGGTGCCGGTGGGCGGACGGCTGCCGGGTGCCGCCGCTCCTCGAGCCCTCATCCCTGCGGAGAGCGCGGCCCGACGAGGCGGCCCGGCACGCATTCCCATGCTCGCCGCTAAAAACGCTCCCCGAGCCGCGACGCGAATGTACTGTAACGAGTGGCCGCGTCGCGGTGGAGACTCCGAGACTGCGATGCTAGCGAGAGCCCGCCGCGTTTCGCGGCCATCGGGGCAGCGAGGGACAACCGGCGGAGCGGAGCGGCTCTCCACGGGAAAAAGCGGCGCTGGGAAAGTGCGGTGCGCGCCCCGCGCTCGGGGGAGCCGAGCGAAGCGGCGGGGATCCCTGCGTGACACGCGAAATACCTTCAGCCCCGCGACGGAGGGAGGGACGGAGGGAAAAGGGAGAGGCGAACTTTTGCGTTTCGCTTTAAGGCGCCGCCGCCGCGCTCCGCTCCCGCAGCGCTGCCCGCCCCCGGCGCGGGGCGATGCGATGCGCGGGGCCGAGCCCGGCCGCATCCCAGCGGCTCCGAACCGCGGATTGAGAAAGGGTGCGGAGCGGGGGGGGGAGGCGGCGAGATGCGCGGCGGTGTCACGGAGCGCCGTTCGCAGCCGCTCATCGCCTATCGCGATCCGCCGAGGGGTGACATGGAAACAGGCACCAAAAAATAGCAGAGCCAATGACGAACGGCGGCCGGGTGACAGAGCGGAGCGCTCCGGAGGCGGAGAGGAGGAGGTGAATGGGCAGCGTCGGGCCGGGCCCAGGGGTCCGGAGGGGGGGTAGGGGGGAGGGAAAGGGGGACACCGCCGGGGAAGAGGAGCGGCCATCCACGGCTCGGGGTAACGGAGCGGCGGGGGGGGGGATGGGGGAGGGGGGGCGGCAGCGGGCGGGGAGCGGGGAGAAGTTAATGTGCTGCTGACACGGGAGGGGGAGGGATGCGGGGGGGGGGGGGGGGGGG